ATCATCCAACCATGGTAGGTATACTGCAAAGAAAAGGAAAGGCAAAAATATACACCCCCACCCCATCCCTCTCTTTATTCTTGACCGTCGCTCACCCCCCTGGTACAAGTTTCTTTCTCTCCTCAGCCTTCCGCTGCCATAAGAATAAAAGATGGCGGTCATAATTTACGCTAAAAAAATACTGAGAACGCGTTTGCCAATATTACGCCTACCCTGCAGGTTAGTGTGAACCTTCACTACGACCTGAATGACTATTGATTAAAAAAAAAGGATTTTTTTATGGATTATTTCAAAACTACATTTATCTGAATAAGATGACAGGATAAAGTTTAAACGTAAACTGCTCTCGGCCGGTAGGAGTTAATGTGACATGGTTATTTATTTCAGTGACATATCACCTAGAAACCATTTTTATCTTTTTGGTTTTCAACAGAAGTTATGTGGCACTTCTCCTTGTCCCCCGGCTGCTTCTTGTGTACCAACTATTGATGGAAAACTCCGCTGCGTTTGTCCTGCTTATTGGACTAGAACTGAAAGCTGCGAAAGAGGTTTGTATTATTATCGCTACACACCCTTTGTTATACACCTGTTTCACGTAAAGCGTTGCACGTAATGATCTACGACCTGAGAAAAAGCCTTCACCTTTCCACCCGCACTCATTTCTTTGTATGTTAGTGAACAGTTTTTTAATTGTTAGCGTTGTGCAATTTGACAAACAAAAGTGCTATGTTTGAGTAATATGTGACCCTCCACGGGATTTCAGGGAATATGGTGAACGCACGCTCACGGTACACTAGCACGCTAAAACAAAAGAACGAGCACCTTAGCTGCGTGTAAGTTACTTGCCTCATCAACTTTGCAGCTATTGTCTTGCTTCGCACGGTAGAAACAAAGGAACTTATTAAGATCTTGATCGCAACTTTGCACGATATTACACGGTGACCGTCCCATTTTATAACACGCTTCTTTAAGTTAAAGTTGCTTTCGATTTGTACAAGAAGTACGTCCTAAGCTTTAAGGCTTTTTAGATCACCGATGCGCCCGGCCGATATACGATACTCAGTATCCAGTGCAACTAATTTGCCTAACATAAACGAATACCTCGACTAGTTGTCCATCATTTCAAACTGTGTTTGAGTTTTTTCCTTCATTTTCGAATTCCTCATTTTCTTAAAACAGCTTGCAAAACACGGGCCGAGCGAGCAAAGTCCTCTGCTCTTGAAATCGTACATGAACTTTTGAAGGTAGCAAACACAAGCTTTTAAAATAATAAGAGCGAGCTTGTATGATGCAAAGCAAACGGCTTGAGTGTAAACTGTGCTATTTATATTGTTAAATTCGTTAACCGTCAAGTACGACAGTCCGTGTGGTGCGGTGGTAGCGTCATCTTTTTTTTTTCTTTCTACTGACGGGGTGTACAAAATAATGAAATATCTAATACACCCTTTTCTTATTAACAGACAGTCTATTTGCCAAACTTTAAGCGTTGTAGATTCCTTTGACTGTCGTCACCTATGCCTTCTTTATTCTCTTAATAATTAGCAATGTTTACATGCTAGGATTAGCTAAAATCAAAATAACTAAGAACGTGGTTTTGTTGAACAATGGCTAAACTCTGTTCAATTAACCGACCATAATGTTTTTATGTTAAATGATAGACTAATTGTGCCATCTAAGTGTTTTGAACAAACTAGTTTTCTTAAGCCTGTGAATAAGGGTCCTCCTCTTTCCTCTAAATTTCGTATTTATGCTAAATGATTCCACTGCTCACTAAAACATGGCGAGTCAAACTTTCTTTATGAAACGGACACAAGAAAGCCTTGTTTTCCGCTATCCAACTGCTTGAAACCTTTACTTCCACCTCGCCATCTCCTCAAGATAAGCTAGCGTGTTAGGGAACAAAGGAACTTAGCGTCTTAAAAAAAAAAAAAATCTAGCATGTTATGGAAACAAAGCTCTACCGTGTTAGCCAGATATGAACAATGCTCTACAACACACTTTCTGAAATAAATTGTTTTTATGCGCATATCTGCACGGTAAGCGTGTCATGCCATTAGCGTGCGAGCGTGTCATGCCATTAGCGTGCGAGCGTGTCACAAAATGCCGTTTGCGTGCGTTCACCTTATTCCCTGAAATCCCCTGGGGGGTCACATACAGTAGCATAAATTGTGAGAAAGGTTGGTCAAAGAGTCAGGTGTTCGCCTTTCACCATTAGCGCTTACCTTTTTTCATGCCTTAATAACATCGAGCGAATGGTTTGATAGTATTCTTACTGAGAGCATTATTCTCTAGTGTTTAATCGTTAGCTAACGTAGGGTGTCACTGTTTTGTTGAAGATACGGACGAATGTTCCTCTGGATCGCATGACTGTTCAGCGGACGCGTACTGCAACAACACTGTGGGCTCATTTACTTGCACTTGTAAAGCTGGATTTTCAGGAGACGGCAAAAAATGCAAAAGTAAGAAACCGATATTTTGTTTTCTTTTTATTTTGTTACTTTTTTTAACATTGTTAACTTATAGAAGTTATGTGATCATTATATATTTCTTATAAAAACTTTATACGTGTGCGGATGGTGCTCAAAAATGAACTCGATGTCACCCAGTTTCACAATAGAGTACTGGTCAGAAACAAAATGAGACTTTACGTAAAAGCTTTTTAGAAGAACTGTAGAGACTGTGTTCAGAACCAAAGATAACTGACAATGCATCCACCCACATTTAGCTGTTTCTTATTCCGGAGAGTGTCACGGTATGATTTCTGGTAATCAGTACGAAGTGTTCAATAAGTGATATCTCAGGTTTTTTGCTGCTTCAGCTCGTTTCAAACTCTAAACACTTAAAACGCTTGCCACCCGTAGCACTTCACTCGTCTTATTTATGACTATAGTTGCGTAAGCGAGGAGGTAGAAGTCTGGATGATTGATAGTATCGATTCCACCTACTTACAGATATCATTGAATGTAACACCAGAAGTGCCAAATGTCACGTGAACGCCACGTGCAGCGTCACTATTGATGGCTACATTTGTAAATGCAAAGACAATATGATCGGAGATGGACTCTTATGCGTGGGTGGGTGTTTTGATAAACGCGTGTTATATTAAGAGTTTATATCCAACGTAAGCTCGGCCTCAGTAGGACCCTGCAATACCACTAGTGAGACTTATTACGGATTTCTTTCGCTGCCTTTTTGAAGTGCGAAAGCGCTTCTTCAAAAAAGGTTCATGAGCTTAAAAATTAAACAGTTATCCCACTTGTGCTCAACTACATTTAGTGCTCTGTAGTATCTGCAAATGTTGTTTACATCAAGTAATTCGTTGATCTTCGGACGACAAGACGGGAATTATATCAAAGCGTCCAATTACTTGCCTTCTAGACTTCTTACCTTTGTTGGTTTTAAATTTAGTCCACACTTCTATAAACATTGTTAACACTTCTATAAACATTGTTAAAACTTACGAATTATCTTTTATGTAGGATAAATCGTGAAAAAATCATACCAGTATTCATTTTTTAATTCAAGGATTCAAAGGATATCGTTTTCATTGGGCACTCAATGGGTCTGATCCAAATATAAGGTAAGGTGAAAAAACGCTTTATTCTGCTGGGAAGAACTTGTTGGAACACTACGGTTGTGAAAAGTTCAAATTCTTACTTACAATTATGGATAATCTCCAGTTTCAATGAGTTAATTTTTTTGAGAACAGTACATAATAGTCATAGTTATACAGCGGCTTTGACAGGTCAAAGTTTTGACCTACAATATTTTCTAAAATGCATTGCATCCAACACACAATTGCGGTTTTTTTGCCGCGTTTGTCATAGCTATTTCCCCATTTTTTCACAGGAATTTCAAAAATCTCCTTCGACTTCCTCATACAGTGAATACTTTCTGGAGAGGATCATTAAGCTTTCTTTCTTGAAACGCTGTTTAATATTTTCAGTTAATGGTAACATTATTTCATTTAGCTACTTGTAAAGAGGATTCCACATGGTATGACATGCGTGATAACAAAAGTATCTCCCTTATTTTCATGAATTGAGAAGTTTGTACAATGGTGCTTCCTATAAAAATATGGATGGCAGGACAGTACTGTACCTGAGTGGAGCCAATCGTTCCTACGCAGAAACCCCAGCACTCCCGATCCGAGTTATCAGCTTTAGTATCAT